CAGTGGCAGGACTTTTCACCCTAAGGCTCGGGAGAAGCAGGACTCCCCTGCTTCATCCTGGGTAGCCTTGGGGGTGACGCCTGCCCCTGTGCTCCTCTCTCTGGCCCCACTCACCTGAGCTGGACGTCTGCATCTTGAGAGTGGACTACTGGTGCGATGCCAGTGCCCAGCACCTGGCCATGCTGCTCTGCCGCCTTTGGCCTCGGTCGCTCTGGCAAAGAGCCAAGGCTATTCACTCATCACCATGTGCTCGGCCACTGTGTGCCAAGGCACATTCCCAGCCCTCTCTTCACGTTCCACGGTGTCACCAGGGTGCCTGCGCGTGTGGACTTCATTTATGTTCCTAGGTGTATACCTAAGCTCTATAGTCCTGCATATTGATTCAGTCTTGGGTTTGTTTTTGTTTTTTTTAATTTATAAGTTAATGCATTTTACCATATTTGACTTAATTTATAAACATTTATTTAATTCATAAGTTAATGCATTTTTTACCAAATTTGAGGCCACTATTTCTTCCATTTTATTTTCCTTTCTTTCCAGGATTCTTATTACACTTATGTTATACCAGACAGTGTTGGCTAATAGGTCTCTGAGTTTCTTCTGTTCATTGTTCTTCATTGATTTTTTTTCTCTCTGTTCTTCATATTGGATCATTTGTATTGATTTTTTTTCTGATTCATCAGTTTGATCTATCTTCACTCTGCTGTTAAGCACCTACAGTGAGGTTTTTACTTCAGTTATTGTACTTTTTAGTTTGACTCTGTGTTTGCTTCCTTGTAGAGCTCCAATTTTGCTTTTTATCTTTTTATTGTGGTTGCATCTTCTTTAAAATCCTTACATACCCTATAAATACATGTTATTACAACAAATAAATATATGTGTCATATTTAGGCATTCATACATAACATCTGCCTTAAAATCCTTATCTGATAATGGGTACATCTTTGCCATTTAAACATCACTTTATATTGATTGCTTTTTTTGCCGGTCTAGGGCTGGTTGAGTGATTTTTTTGTTGGACTTCAGACATTACAAATTATATAGTGAAGGGCCTTAGGGCTGTTGTGTTTCTCTATTGAGTGAACTTTTGTTTTGTAAACTGGTTCACTTGGCTGTACTCAGATCCCAACTCTGCCTTCCCTGATGTGAAAAGCACCTGCCATCTTGGTTATCTTCAGTTAGCCACCAGTGTGTCCCTTATCCACACTGTTGAGTGGCCTGTCAGTGTTTTGAGAGGGTGTTGTATACAGATCTGTAGGACTTCCCAGCTCCAAATTCTCTGACATCACCAGCCAGAAAGCAAGGCCAGTTTCATGGGTCTGTGGCCTGCAACTTTACCCAGGGCACTGGATTCAATGCTCTGCTCTGTCTTAATTTTTCAACAAGGGGCCACATTTTAATTTATAAACTTAAGTTTGAAAAATCTCTGCTTTGCTTGCTCCTGTTTTTCAGCTGGCTCTAATATATAAACTAAGCCTTTTCCTTCTCATGTGACATGAGAGTTTAGCTAGTTAAGTTATATTGGGAAAGTAATTGCTACCAACTCCTGAGGGTTCAGCTCAGCCACCCCTTCCTTTGAAGGCCTTTCCTGTCTCACAAACCTCACCCGAGCACACCAATTTAAATCGGACCTTCCCGTACTGCTTGGAAGATCCTGCCATCTGTCTTCATGGCTCAYGTATAATCGCAATGGACAGTGATACATTAACCTACGTTTTTGTGATTCAACATATTTCTACTTCACTGGTAATATAAACTCTACAAGAACCCATATCCTTTTCCTCCCCCAATGGCCAGTATGCCTAGAACATGGTCAGTGCTTGACAAACACAGAGTGAATACATCACAGGGCAGAGGCTGGCTGCCGAGCTGAGGCGGGCACTGCTGCCCTTTCTCACCCTGATTCTTGCAAGCAGACCAGAAAGACTAAAGTYGCGTTGCTCAGAGTGGCAGGCCTGAGTTTTATTAGGATAGGAAAGGGGAAGGGGACGCTTTCCAGGGAGACAGCAGGCACCCCTCTTACCCTCCAGTTTTGTTGGGTATGGAAGTTTCCAGAGAGTCCACTGGGTCCACCTCTTGATTTTTGACTGACAGCATGATGACATTGGAACATTTGAAGTTCCCACTGCACATGACCACTCGGGGTCACTTTGGCCCACATTGACCAGTTCTAATGGAACTTGTTCTTTCAGGTTTTCGGTTAGAGTAAATTATCCTTGTCTCCCTTTGTTCCAGGATCTGTTCTGTGTAAAGGTCACAAAAGTACCCCCCGCTTTGAGGTAACGTGTGTTCCTCTGCAGGTAACAGGCTGTTCACTGAGGAACGTGACATGTCCTGTCAACTGAAGCCAGGCAGGGTTTCGGGTAAAYGGCATTTTATTTAAAAGAAAGGAAACATGGAAGAGAGGGGAAAGGAAAGGAAGAAGCATGTGGGGCTCAGCACAGTGGCCCAGTTTATGGGACTTCCCCTTAACCCCGGGTTCCTTCTGCCGGCATCTGTCTGTTCCCTATCAAATGAGTCAATGGATGAAAGACTGAATGAAGAGTGAAAATTCAGTGTCTAGTAACTTTTTTGTCTCCCTTCCTCCTACTACTCAAAGACCTAAAGCATGCCGTGATCTGGGCAAGTTGTGTGAAGTAGTGCTAGGTCAGAGGCACTGCATAGCACGTGTATTATCAGCAGGGCTCCAGAAGAAATGGCAATCCCAGGTCTCCAACTTCTTTCTTTAAAAATCAAAGACAAGTGTCAGCTGATACAATGTACGCAGCACTGTGCTGCATTAGATGGCCTAATCTGCTGTGTCCTTAGTGTTCGCATCAGATGCATTTAACTATCCGTTATGAGATTCCCTGTCATTGTCTTCAAAATTAAAGAACATGCTTTCCTTTTTTTCTTTTGTGTGTGTGTGGGGAGGGGCATGTTGGGGTGGGCCCCAGGGCACTCTACCACTGAGCTGCATCCCCAGCTCTTTTTATTTTTTACTTTGAGGCAGGGTCTTGCTGAGTTGCCCACGCTGGCCTGGAACTTGCCATCCTCCTGCCTCGGCCTCTCTAGTAGCTAGGATGACAGGGCGGACCACTGCACCCGGCTAAGAACACATAAGCAGGGTCTTAAAAACCTTTTTGAAATGTTCACCTATGGTTAGGTAGCTGGTCAGCCACGAGTGGATGAGCAGGGAAAGGTGGTGAGAGGTGACGGAAAAGCACAGGAGCCTTAGCTGACAGGCAAGCTCCTGGGGGGTGTCAAAACCTCCCCCAGCTCTAGTTACTCTACTTAAGGACTCTTTCAAGATCAGGTCACAGCCTGTCAGGTCCTGGACCCTCCYTTACCACCAACTATGTCACCTCTGCCCATCACCATGGCAACTAAAACATCAAGCCCCTCACAAAATCTGCTGAGGGCTATTCAAAAGTGAAAGCTAACTAAGGGCAAAACCAGGGGAACTCGGTGTCCCTGAAACCCCCCACGGCCTTCTCCCAGAGGTGGTCTGTGCCAATTCTATGCTGCAGTCACCTTGCTTCTCACTGTGCTGACCCCCAACAGCTTTCTTAAAAGCAGTTGACGTGTAGCCTGCCTGTCTTAAGCCAAAAGGAGCAAAGACCTGGATCTGCGGGAGAAATGCAAGGGCAGGAGTGCATATGGGGGAAACCCYGGCACCTGCCACCAAAAGCTGGACCTGGGTGAGACTCTCCAGTAAAAGTGGAGGACCAGGGGGTGCACTGTCYTCTGAGAGGACCCACTCTCTCCCTTAAGAGCTCCACCCCCTTTCCATTTTACTATTCCTTCTAATGAAACTCAAGTCACATGTCTGAAACCTTTTGGACATCAGGGAGGAAGGCAGCTGCCAGCTCTGCTGGGAAGGCGAGCGTACCTGTGACACTCAGAATGATGTGTTGAAGTTTGCCCCACCTGGGGAGGTGGACCCTGGAGGGCTGGCACCTGCAGAGGCAAGGAGAGAGTACACACCCAGTGTGGTGCACCCCTTCTCTCTGTGCTGCCTCCTAGATTAAGGAATGAAATGTGAGTGTCCTCACTTTCGCACGTATGTTGAACACATGACAATTAGATGTGCTGGTTTTTATTTTTTATTTATTGGTACTGGGGTTGAACCCAGGGGTACTTACCACTGAGCCACATCCTCAGTCCCTTTTTAAATATTTTAATAGGGCCAGAGTCTCGCTGAGTTGCTAAGAGCCTCACTAAATAAATTGCTGAGACTGGCTTTGAACTCCTGATCCTCCTGCTTCAGCTTCCCAAGCCGCTGGGATCACAGCGCCACCGCGCCCAGCTCGGGTTTTTAAGAAATTGTAGAGATTGTTGCAAGTGCGACGCCTGGACTTCCAGCATTCATTGGGGATTTTGGTCGAGATCAAAGAATATAAGTATATGTCATGAGCTTTGTAATGTTGTGAACAACCAATAAAAAATAAAAAAATAAAAAAATAAAAAAGAATGGAAACAAAAAAAAAAGAATATAAGTATTAAAGTGGGTATCAAGAGTGGGAGGGGTGAACGACTGGTAGGAAAAGAGCGACAAGGCGATGCGTCCCTGCAAGCCACACTTGGGAGCAGAACGACCTTGAGCTGAGCTGCGTCCCGACGCCAGGCTGTAGATGCTCATCCACCGCCATCCGAGACCACAGCTGCCCTGGTTTTGTGACCGCTGCGCCCGCGGCTCCAGGCGGTGGCCGCACGGCGGCGGCGGCCCTGTCCGCAGCTGCGCGCCGACTGGGCGGCGGCATTTACGGTAGCGAGGGCCGGGGCGCGAGCGAGTCTACGGTCAGCCGGGGGCGATATTTACGGTAACGACGGCGAGCCCGCGGCGGGGTTGACGGCAGCGGGCTGCCCCGCGGCTCCGAGTCCCGCGGTTTCTAGCCGAGGCGGCCGCCTCTCCGCACCCCGCGGACAATGCGGCACGGCCCTCGGCCGCGGTGAGGGGCCGGGGCCCTCCGCCCGCGCCCGGCTTGAGCGCGGGGCCCTGCGCCCGCCCCCCGCCCCCCATGGGTCTGTGCTACAGCCTGCGGCCGATTCTCTTCGGGGACCCCGAGGACGCCCCCTGCGCGGACCCCGAGTCCCGGCTAGAGGACGCGCGGCCCGACCCGGCCCCGGCCGGGGCGGCGGGGAGTGATGCGGCCGGGACCCCACTCCCGCGAGGCGGCGGCCAGAGCGCGGCGAGCGCGCGGCCCAGCGCGGACAAGCCGAAGGGGAAGCGGCGGCGCCCGGAGCAGCTGCGCGCCGAGGAGCGCGAGGCCGCCCGGGAGGCGCGGAAAGTGAGCCGCGGCATCGACCGCATGCTGCGCGAGCAGAAGCGGGACCTGCAGCAGACGCACCGGCTCCTGCTGCTGGGTAGGTCCCGCGCGCGGGCGGGCACAGCGGGGCGCAGGGCGCGGCTCCTATCAGGGTGGGCGACGGTCGCAGACGCGGTCCTGGCGGGTCAGACCGCCTGGGAGACCGCCGGCTGAGACTGGCCTGGAAAGGCTTTATCCGGACAGTATTTTGCTGCAGCCACTGAGAACATGCACAGGGGTGGTTTTGCGCCTTTGCGATGCCGGCTGGTTGCGCGCTTGTAAGTAATTAATGAGCCTCTCCGGGAAGCATCCTCCCTCCCGGGAAGCGTCCTCCCTCCCGTCCTCGGGTTGATTCCCACAGTGCGCTCCGCGCCCTGCCCCGGCGTCAGGCAAGAAGCAAGGAAAGGCGTTACACGGCCTCTTARCCTGACCACAAAGCTCTCCTTCCCACCCCTGTGTTGGAGAAGAGTGGCCGGCGAGTGTGGCTCGAGGACTGCTGGGAAATAACGTCAGCGTCCGAAGCCTCGGCCCCCGGCGCATACAGGGCATCTCGGCGCCCCGCGCAGCCCGGGCGCTGTAGGAACGCTTCCTCGTACCCAGATCCCACAGCTGTCCCAGCATCAGCTGCAGGCAGGCGGAGGACCGAGCGCGCCCAGCCGCTGCGTGACGGATGCTCTGTCCCAGCCGAGCTCAGCGTTAGCGAGCACAGGTGTGTCAATGCCAGTTAGCGGCTAGAGTCACTTCCTGGACGCTCTGCTGTAGGATGGGGGGGGGGGGGGGGGGGGGGGGTCCTGGGGGGGGGGGGGGGGGGGGGGGGGGGGGGGGGGGGGGGGGGGGGGGGGGGGCGGGGCGGGCGGGGGGGGGGGGGGGGGGGGGGGGGGGGGGGGGGCGGCGGGGATCCTGAATTCTTGACTCTACTTGTTGCCTTTTAAACTTTAAGGGGAAAAAGTGACAAAGTGACGTGGGCTTTTGATCTCAAGTTAGTGACAAGAAGGAAGGAGTCTACTTGGGTCTAGCCCTGCTGTGCGAGGGGGAAGGAGCTATCCCATGACTGGAGTCAAAAGCCTGCTTACAAATGAAGGTGACTTTTAAAATCTAGACAACAATAAATATTGAATTTAGAAGGACTCACCTGCTGCAAGAATGATTAAAACAACATGAACCTGCTGCCGTGTCATGGGAAAATATCTGAGTTCTAAAACAAAGAGAATTGTTTTCAAATAAATAACACAAAATAAATATGAGAGTGCTGCCTTATCTGCAGGGGTTTGATCCAAGGTCCCATGGATAACTGGGACAGTGTAGGCACCAGACCCTCTCTGTACCTGCTTTTCCCTATACATACACACCTATGGTAAAGTTTATTTCATAATGTGTCTGATGGCATGACTAACAAAACAGCAATTCTAACCACTTACTGTAATGAAAATCATGTGAATGTGSCCCCCCAAAAGTCTTATTATGTTTACTCACTCTTCTTGTGAGTTTTAATGAGACTGTATAGTGAAACATATCTCTAAAAAAATAACAAAAGGCAGTTCTGGGACAGTCGGTAGCTCTGTGGTAGACTGTGAACTTAGTGTGCCACCAGGCCCCGGTTCCATCCCCAGCACCAAAATAATGATGAAATAATAATTACTGTTATTTTGTTATATGTTAGTTTTTTTGTTACATATAACATTATTAGTAATTTTTATATATCATAGAAATAATGAATATATAATAAAAATTTAGTAACCTGATTTTTGGGAAAGAGAAGTGGGAGGTAGTGTCTGAAGAACAGAATGATGGGCTCTAAGCAGCCCATTCTTTGAACAGGTTTTGAATGACCACACGCATGAACATTGTTTATCTCCGGCCTAGTGGAGCTGGTGATCAACGTAGCCTGCCACCTGCCCTTGAATGAGAGGACTGGTGTGCCCAGTTCTCTACCCAAGGACATCACACTGTAACTCGGGCTGTTACTTCTGTCTGATGCTGTTTGTCAGGTGTTGTGTAGATTTGAGTSCCGCAGTCTGGCTGCAGCAAAATAGCTGGGGGTGACGAATAACTTGTGTAYGTTGATACAGCAGGAGTAGGAGCCGTTTATTGTAGGACAACAGAGCTATTTATACATTTTGCACAGCTTATCTTAATTAGCATAAACTAGATACATCAGTCAACCAATAAGGAATCTCCACACTTAATGGCTCACTTTTGTTACTTTTCAAACCACTCCCTCTGGCATTTTGCCAGGCACCATCCAGACTTGTTTACGAACTCTAACATTCCCCTGGCAAAATACCAGGTGTTATTTTGACTTGTTTACAGACCTTAACATTTGAGTTTTGAACACAGAAAGGTTCTTGGTTTTGTTGGCATTCCCGATGGATTTACTGAGCAAACAATGTTTGAATCAGAGCCCTGACATGCAACCAAGGATGTCCTCAGATGCTTGCTTCTCCTTGCCCCGCCTGCCTACTGGTTCTGGAAGTGAGTGGGGAGCCTGGCGTGGGGGTCAGAGCACTCACAGGCTCCAGGAGGGAGCCTTGCTGCAGGGCTGCCAGCTAGACAGCTCAGGGCTGCGCAGTCCTCGGGTACTCTCCTCCCCACGGTCATTGCTCCCCTGGGAGTCCCTGCACATACCAGATRAGCCTCTCTGAGCCTCAGCTCCCTTGCCAATACTAATTCCAGTGTGAGGACTCAGTGGAAGGAGTCAGCAAAATGGGCTGGAGTGATCTCTGTGAGCTCACACTCAGGAAGGTGGACCGGTCTCAAAACCCCGAATCCAACTGTACCAACAGAATCTCTTCCCGGTGCTACTCATGCTCTCCGTGATGCACAGGACGATCACACAAGAGTCACAGCCCTGCAGGGTGAGGCAGAAGGTTGCACAGTGGAGTGGTCCCTCGGGAGACACGAGGATGGGCATGTAGGCAGGGGCAGAAATGAGGAGGGAGAGGGGACAGCAGAGCTGGATGGCGCATCTCGTGGGGGATCAACACCCTGGGGACTGACGAGCCAGTGGCCGGACACCTGGATCTCTCTGCCTTCTGGCTGCGGTAATGCGGGGCCACCATTCTCCTCAGCAAGGAACCTCAGAGGCAGAGGTGTGGAGGGAGCAGAGAACGAGGAGCTTTGCTTTGGGCATTGGAAACAGCTGCAGTGGGGCTCCCATGGCAGATCTATGAAGGGGCTGGGTGTCCCTGGGGGTCTGCAGCAGGAGGAACGCTCAGGTGGAGCCAGAGAGATGCCCAGGATGGGCCCTCCAACCCGGGGAAGAATGTGCAGAGCCGAAGGGAAGGGCCTGGACAGGGGATCATGGAACTGCAGCCATCCAGAGGCACCGGAGGAAAACCAGGAAGGAAAGGTCTTGGGAGGAAAAGAGCGCCCAGCAGTTTCAACCAGGAGCTCAAAGATAATTCTGAAGGTGATCCATCGGCCTGGCTGCTTGTGGGATCAGGAGCAGGCTGAAGATTGACACAGTGTGAGCGTGGACACCCACGGTGCCTGTTCTGGGTGGACTTGGTTGCAGAAGACAAAGCAGCTGCCCCGGTGCCTCTCTGGTGCCCACAGAGAGGTGGCTCAGGAGGGTACAGAGGATGCCCTAGTGGCACTCCTCCTAAGAGGAAGGTAAAGGTGGGGGAGGAACTACCGTCTTCCAGCTCAGGAAGTTCCTGATCACTGTAGCCTCTGCTTTGATGCTGGTGATGAGTCCACCACGCAGCACTGGGGCATAGACCCAACCCAGCCCCTCCACCACACTGTTGCATACGTCTGTAATTTACAGTGAGATCCTKCAGTAGCACACAGGATTTGCAGTTCAGATGGGACCAGGAGAGGCAGCAAGTTCCCTTGCTGACCCCATCTTCCCAGGTTTCCAGACATAAGCCTTTTCAAGGATGACTCCTACMTGGTAGGGCCTGAAACCAGCTCATGACATTGAAAGCGGCAATCAGGAGACTTCCCCAGTGTGTTGCTCAGCTTGCCTTGCCGTAACCAAAACACCTGCCAAGAGCCACAGGAAGGAGGGAGAGTTTATTTTGGCTCATGGTTCCAGAGGTACAGTCTACGGGGGTCCAAGTCCATTGCTATGGGCCCAAGTGAAGGGCGTGGTGGAGGGCACTGCTCTATCCCTGGCAACCAGAAGCAGGGAGAGAGGGGGAGAGGAGGAAGGGGCCAAGGGAAGAGGCACCCTCCAGAACTCCCCCAGGACCTGCCTCAGCCAGCCACACCCCCTGCCTAAGCTACCACACCATTAGTCACATTAGACTACTTCCTAGTCTGAATGGACTGATTCGCTCCGCGGCTCTCACAATCCAGTCACTTCACCTCAGAACATTTCCACATTAACAGAGGTGCCTTGGGGGGTGCCTCCCATGAAAACCCTGGCAACCACTATGTAATTAAATAAGAATAAAGAACCCTACAGAATTGCTCCTCATCTCCCAGCACCCAGGATAATTTAGTTCCTGTGTAATTCACTCATACCTAATATCAGTGCTGGTTGATTCCAAACTGAAATCACCCTTTGGCTGAAAATTAGGTGGTGCCAACTGGAGCAGCGTCAGGCTCCTGTATTCAAGAGTCAGGTGGAAACTGTCCCATCATTTCAGTTCCCTTTCCAGGGAGGAACAGGCAGAGCACGGAGCACTTGGGGCCGTGGAGCTACTCCACATGCACATCCTTGTGCATTTGTGCAGATCCACAGAACACCCAGCAAAGAGGAAGCGCAGCCCAGACCTGGGCGGGAATGGTGTCTAGTCCAGCCCTGTGGATAGCACCGGATGGACAGCTCCAGACATGGTGACAGTGCCTTGAGGGACGGGGATGGGGAACAGCTGATCCAGCTGCTCTGGGTTACTCTGAACCTAAGACTACTCTTAGAAAGTCTGTTTCTAAAAACTCGTTACTAGGAAAAGAGGTGGGTGAAAAGACTTGGTTGGAATCCCGGAATTGGGGGAGCTGATGGGGAGGAGGACTCGCAGAGCCAGAGAGCAGGTCATCTGACAAGCTTCTCAGGGCCACGGACACCACCTCCTCCTCCAAAAGAGCCCAGGTAGGTTGGCCAGAKCAGGA